TCCCACCATCCAGACCAGGACCCCCGTATTACCCACCCAGGTTTCCTTCGGATCATCCCAACAGGAAACGGAATCAGCAGCAGCGAAGAAGGACAACCACGCCTGCTCCTACTCCACTGCCTCCTCCACCGACTCAACCACCTCCTCCAAAGGTGTGGACCACGAGACCACCCGTCATTGTACCTGTTTGGCAACCACAGCATCAACCACTGCCAGTGACGCCGCACCAAAATGCTTACAGACCATTCAGCTACCAGCACACCAATGCTTGGGCACCTGTCAAACCCACTGAGGCTTCCTACCCTTACAACCAACACCACCAGCAGCAGCTGCAGAACCCAACGGGGTAACACAGTTTTCCCTTAAAAAGGTTTACAGTATATTGGGACCCAATAAATAACATAGATCGACAGTTGGACACCCCAACTTGCACGAAATTTGACTTTTGGACACTGTAGGCTAAAAATTAAATAAAAATAAAAATTCTCCAAAATCTGAGCATATTTGCAAGAAACTTCACCAAAATTTCCAGAAAATTTTCATATCTTTTGAACAAATTGAACTGCAAATATGGCAATTATGACAATTGAACCCTGTAAAAAATGACAATTATGAGAAATGAATATTTTCATTAAGTCACGATAAAACTCATTGCAAATCTGATTTGATTAATTTTCGAAAGCGGGATACTTTTTTGCTCTTATTTCTACATGATATATGCCAGGGTTTCTCATCAGCTGTGAACAATTCAGGTTATTTAGCAATGCAGTATGCGTGGTTTTCCCGTGTCTGTAGGGTTCGTTTCATTCCAAAAATGTAAACATTTTGTGTCGTTTTTTTCATTTAAATTTTTTGGATCGAAGTTCAGAAAAACATTTTTCATTCAATTTTTTGAGGAAATTTTTCGATTTTTGGCCAAACATGAGAACTGTTAAGTGACTGAAAATTTTTAATTCATGTCTAAACGAAAATGTTTCCAGTTGTATGCAAATGTCCTGACATGTGCTGGACACTGTCTGAAAAATAAATTGCTCTTTTAAAGAACGCGAAAGCAAAATTTTTTTAAAGTACAACGCCTGGAAATTCGGAATAATCAGACTGTTTTTTTTTCATTCGCGCGAACGAATATTTTGGATTGCACAGTTTTTAAAATTGTCAGTCTTCAATAAAGTGCAGTATTTCAGGTGAAATCAGAACAGAATTTAGCACTCAATTACAACCCCGATTTTCCAGGGGAAGGGCAATATAATTTGGCGAAAACATGCCGATTCTCCCCTTTTTTACATGTGGACTCTCCCTGTGCATATCTTGTCTAGAAAATTGGCATACGTTAAGCGATTTTCACTATTTTAGTACTGTATAGTGAAATCTTGTTGCAAGAAAATGTCCGGGACATCAGAAAATGATGTTGTGCTGTAGCAAATAATTTTTTGTAACACGATTAAAAAAAATATGTACTTCTTGTAATAATTTTTAATATTAAATGTGCTCATATTCAAGATCTTCATTTTGTGATATTTTCAGATGTTTTTCCTTCTTTAAAAAACTGATCTTCAAAAAGAAATTCAAATGGCAATGGCATTTTTAAAACTCTGAATAACATGTGAACACTAGCACTTTTTGCCAACTTCAAGTTTTTCCAAGCAAATTTTTCCCAGATTCATAAGAGATGTTCCCAAAAAGCTTAGTTTTTAAGCATCAGTAGGGTTTCACAAGCATCCAAAACTCCTTTCAACATCAAGTTTTTGGGTTAATGTTTTGTCTCAAACCTCCCCGTTATTTGCGATCCATGAGAAAATTTTGGAAAAGAACTTATTCAGGGGAATTTCTGAAAATGTGTGTCCTTGATCCCACTTTAAGTCACAGTTACATTTTGAGTGGAAAATTTGAGACTGAGCCAGCTTTCATTAGGGATTTTTCATTAGGAAAATCACAACATGTCCCTCAAACATGTTTGCTATGCTGGAATTGGAGAGTTTGTTGTAATGATATTTTTGTAACATTCTGCTGGGACTTGTAAAAAGTTTTTTATCCTGAAAAATTTTTCATAATGGCATTTGTTGCAATGAGATTTTATTGCAGCAACATCCACAATGATTGATTCCTCCACTACACACTCACTTTCAAGAAAGACTGTCAAATTAACAAGAAAAGGTTTTAAAATGTGTGTAAAATTTCCAGGTGGCAGCAGCAGCATCCATCTTACCCAAACAATAGAAACTTCGGAGGAGCTGCCGGAGGCTTTGTCAAACCACTAGATTTCGGCAAATTCATTCAGAAGATGGGCGTAAGCATGACTTCTCCAGAATTCAGACCACCATCATCAAACCATAACCCACATCATCCGGAATATCACGTACCTCAGTATCTGCCTCAAAAGCACACAAGTACAGCAATGTACAATCCAGGGGTTGGACATGTTGGGACCGTTATGGGGCGTCGACGACCTTCACGTAAACACAGCTCTTTTTAACTCTAGCAGCCCGGTTTTAATTGCTACCTTAGTTACGGTTTGCAGTAGAGTCTGACGCTTAGAAGACCACGTCGATTGACAATGGAAAATTCAGCGGATGAAAGCTGCCGGGAAATAACCTCAAGGAACAATCCTTATTCAAACGTAGTTACTGAAATACCAATTCTAAGGAGACATCCCAGAGACATTTCAAGATTTCATGCGAATCATCCCGGAGGAGGATTTTCAAAGCCTAAGTTAAAGGGACGAAAGTAGTCGCTTTTCTACTTTTAGCTACTGCTTTAGCTGGGCCTTTTTCGGCTTCAGAGTAGGCCTGTGTTTTTCCTCAGAGTTCAAAAAATAAACGGCCTACGCTTTAGCGCTCCGAATCCAAGAAAAACTACCAGGTAACTCTCAAATTTGGATCCTATCATCACAATTATCACTGATGCAGTACTAATATATCAGCATACATTTTCAGACAAAGGCCTTCAATGAGACAAAGAAGTTCCCCTGTGAAGCCCAGAACAGATTTCAGTCACTTCTTCGCAGACTCCAACGGACCAAAATTCCCCGTCAATTTCAACCACGGCTTCGGAAACTCCCTGGAACCTTTGAAACACTTCCCAGACTTTGAAAAACAAACTAAACCAAACATGAATTACCCCATACACCAGGTGAAACAGCCAGCATATGCATCAAGACCTCCATCCTGGTTGACTCACCAGAAGCAGCCGAAACCTCAAATTCCTGCTGAAGCTCCTCCGAAACAAGAGATAATTTATGTACCTTCCTCGCGTCCAAAATCAAAGCAGCCCTTTCCGAATAAAAATTACAATCATGCATCAGGACCCATAACAACAACAACAAGCAGGCCAAGAACAACAACAACAACAACAAGACGACAAAGACCGACAACGAGGAAACCCGCAACCACGACGGAAACAGCAACCACTTACAAACCGGAAGTTGTGGAAGATATACCTGTGAACAGCAAAGAACGTCCGGGTTGCGTTAAGGTTTACCGCAGAGAAGAGCCCGACACTGATGACGACGATGACGACAAGGACGACAAAGATGATTATGGGGACGATAAGGATGACGATTATGGAGAAGCTGATACTGACGACGATTACGGAGACAAGGACGATGACGAGCAGTTGCGACGGAGAGTGCTTCATATTCCACCCAACAGGTGACACTCTTTTGAAATTATCGTGAGACCCTGAAAAGCAGATGTACGTAATTGGCACTGGGACCTTGTCCCTATGTTGAAATGTCCACATGTTGGATCTTGTTTTCCCATAGACTTCAATGGTAACTCATCTATCATTCTTTCTCCAGTTCATCAAAAATTAGAAATAAATCTCCAGAAAGTGTATTTCTCAAGTAAAAGACACAGAGTAACACAAGCCACACAGAATCTGATCTATTTTGGCATCAAAAGGGCAAGAAGGAGAAAAGCTGCATCTTGCTATACTATGCCCAGATGATGTAGAATGATGAAAAATCACAAGATTATCCTTTTTTGATTAAAAATGTAAGTGATCAAAAAGAACAAAATACATTTTTGCCTACTATGGGCATGAATAACTTGAAATGTTTGAGAGATATTGAAATTTTGAAAGACAAAAATTGTAATTTATCCTTGAAATATATTTTGGAAAAGTTTCTGACTGAATGAATCAACAGAACACTTTATTTGCTGCTTTTCAGCATTCACAAGGTTCAATCAAGTTTTCCACATCCAAACTCCCTTCCCAGTCCCCACCCAACCCAAACCCACTCAAAGACATTTAATCACTTCAGAGCAGGAAACAGAGCAAAAATGGAGAAAAAAAAATACAATCCACAAAAGTCCCCAAATTAGATTGTCCATATGTGGGGTGATTGTATTTTTGAGTCTCACTGTACTGAATGTATCTATACTGTTGAGACTACAGTTCAGCATTTTACAGTCAAATTTCAAGGGACCAGCAAAAAAATAGACAAGGATTTTGTCAAGTAAGCAAAACTACCATTCTTTCCAAAAAGGAGAATTACAGGAAGTTAAAATTGGTTAGTACTCTTACCTGAAAGTGATTTGAAAATGAGTTGACAGGATGCTGAACTTGAAGGCAAGATGGTTAATTTTCCCCAATGAGTCTTGAAATTATGTTTTAAAAAACGTAGTCAAATTTTTATTGCTTTTCTCTTTCATGGATTCCAAAAATAATAGCCAAATATGCCTCCAGAAAATGTTGGGTATAGATGTTTGAGGGGAAATATTTCAGTTGGGTTGGTTTCTATAGAATTGTTTTTCGGGGAATTCAGGCAGTCACTTCAAACAAATTTACCATAAGGAAGTATTCAGTTTAATGAGGTTTGAGTTGTCAATATTTTACTGTACTGTATAAGATTTCCCTGTGAAGCATAATAGTCTTGGTGATCAATTGGAAAGTGTCCATGCTTGAATATTCATGATGTTCTCTCCCAACCAAAATACATGTACAATATTTGAAAAATGAAACTCTAGGCTAAAATCTGTTTTTCATGCATGCTACAATTAAGATTGTGAGTATCAAAAGGGTAAAAAATGTTCGCAAAATATCCGTTTTGGAATTTTTTTTTCATACTCTGCACAACCACTATATACACACTGTTCCATGTTCACTGAAGTATCAGATACACACTTCAATAAGAACCACACCTTAATCTTTGTACTGTATGTTAAAATGGATCTTGTTGAAGGTTTGCTCCCACCCTTCTTTTTTTTTTATCCAAAAAGTAAAAATTTTTCTATCCAATGATTTTTTCCCCCTAGGATTATTATTGCCTATAGAGAATATATAACTATACAGAAGACACCGCATCAAAAAAAAAAAAAAAAGTGTGTTTTTTCGTCGCTATAATTTAAGTACAATGAATACTGTGTATATGACTTACACCAGTTTCATTATTATTTTTCTTTCTTTTGAAACCTTGGTTCCCTTTTTGATTTTCATACCCTTGTACCAGGTGCATCCCTAATTTTCTGCATCATTAACCCTTGGACAACAGAGGGTTCTTTCCCATAGTGGGACAGAGTTGGATTAGTATCCTCCCACATTTTCAGAATGGTCAGGAAAACCCTTCCAGGATGGGCTGAGGCAAACTCGGGATAAATGGGATAAATCCAAAAAAGTGTAGCCTCACTGAGCATTTTTTTAAATTTTCCCACAAAATTTTTCTGTGTCAATGGAAAAAAACCATGGGGATTTTTCCTGACTTTGCCCTTGACCCCCTGTAGACATTTTTTTCTTCACCTCTCTGGGGTGCAACCAAATTTCACAAAAATAGTCCAACTTTGCCACCCAAGGGTTAGAACAGTGGTGCCCAACTCAAAAGTGGTCAAGGGCCACATTGAGAAACAAGCCTTCTTCTGAGGGCCACAATACTGAAAATAATTTAACTCCTCTAAAAATTTTCCAAATTTTAGACCTCTTTGAATTTAACAAAAGTCAACAAGTTCCTTATATTTCTTTAAGCAAGCTTGGCAATTTCTCAGAGTAATTCATCTTGCTAAATTTTTTGTGTTTGGACCTGAAATGCCTGAAAAGATTGCATTCCTTGGAAACTGAAATTTTTTCAAGACAAACCAGGCAAAGCATTTTGCCATTGAAGATTGTGAAGAAATATTTGTTTGATCATTCTTCATTAAATACTCTTAAGCACACTGTTAATCTTTGGTGTGTCACTCCTTTCAGCCATTTATTATTCAAACTTTTGTTGAATGATAAATTGTCTCATTCAAATATTATTTGACCAGAAGATCACTGTTAACTCCTAATAGGGAGTCATATAAGGTAAATAGACTACACCGATTTTGGGATGATTATCACACGTACAAAAACGTTTTCTTTTTAAGATAAAAGTTAAAAAAGAGACCTCCTTATCGACGTTAAGTTACGTGTGAATTCTTTTCAAAAGCATTTTTTGCTATCCTTGCCCCATACTTTCCTAGCACAAAATCCCTGAAAATTATGAACCAACAACATACTACTGTACTCGGCTCATCACAAATATGTAATAGTACAATTCACTGTGATCTCAATTGATTTTTGTTTAAAAATCACTAAAATAAATGAATTGTGCATCAATTTTGTACCAGTTCCTGAAAGTGAGAACAGTTGCTTCAGAAAGCTGCATGCATGTGCCAGTTGAAAGCAAGGGAGGAGGGAGCAACGTTGAAGTTCTCGTGTGACTTTGACTTTCAAGACCTTCGAAGGTCTTTATGTCACTTAGTGGTTGAATAAGAACATAAAAAATACAACTGACGTTCGTAATTCCTTTGTTTAACAACCTCAAAGATAGAAAAAATATTGAGAATAAATCATAAAACTTTGAATTTGGAAACAGGAATACTTTTTTAATTTTGCTAAATATATCTTCAGCTAAGGCAAATTTGGTGGGATGGTCCGCGGGACTGTTTGAAGGCCTCCGCGGGCCAGATCTGGCCCGCGGGCCGTATCTTGGGCACCCCTGGGTTAGAAAATAGGCGCGCAGGGTAAATGGGTAAATATTCAATTCGGGTTATTGATTCGGAAATTCCTGTTTCAATTAAAAAAAAATGTTTTATTTTGGGAATCAGCGTCTTGGTGAGCAACACTACTGCTAGCAGGACAGATCCTGTCATCATCATCAGCAGACGCAGACGCCGTAGTGCACCAACCTCAACCCAAGCCTCGCAAAACGAACCCCCGCCTGAGGACTTACCTTGGCTGACCTGTTTCCTGTGCGAAACGGAAGACGGGGATTTCGCGGAAGACTGCGAATATGGCCGTGACGAGGATGACGACGACTTCGGCACCGACGCCTCCTTCATCACACCGTCCAGAGCCAACAGGACGACCGGAAGTGGCACTCATCGGAAGCCGGAACATGAATACTACGACCCCCGGGAATTCAACGACGACGACGTCAAGTTCGACGATGCCGATTTCGCGTTTGACGACGCTTATGAGGTACAGGCCGTCTAGTACACTTTATAAACTGGGGCTTCATACAAGTTTTGGGAATTTTACCGCTTTCAAATACTGTATTTTCTCACGCACCAGAACACAAACCATCAAACAAAATGTGCAACTGAATTTGCAAGTCTGAGTTTTGAAGAATAACCCTTGACTGAAATTTGCGTGCCACGTGTATATTTACATGCCTGGAAATTGTATTACATTATTTTGAGAGTAAATTGAATAAATAAAATTCAATTTAAACCTAAATCAAACCTGGATTCGATTCCTCGTGATTTTAGCCTTAGTTTTTTTTGTAAGGCCCTTGAAAATAGGACTAATAATTAAAATTAAGACTTTAGGGTTAGGTTTTATTATTTACTGATGATGGATATTAATCGAGGAGCCGAATGTGAAGCGTATGCTTTCATATTTTGTGAAAAATCATATAAATGCCAAAAAATTCAATGCACACAACGAATTTTTTTTTTTACTTCCGCCAGCTTTTGGAAGAGGTTTTATTCGATATAACGAAGAAATAAAATTGAGAATCTTTCCAAAAAGAACCAAATTAATGTTGATTAATACTCACTCACATAATAGCTATTTTCGACAGACTTCATCAATTTTCAAGATAATTAAGATTCTTGAAACAATATTTTCTAGTTCTTAACTTATTTTGCGAATTTCTTGACGCATGTTTTGCAGCCGAATTGGATTAACCGTCATTTTCGGATGCAAAAGAATCAGATGCATTAATGAGCATAATTGAGTGTATTTTCCTTGTCGAGTAAAATTGGTTCCTCAAATAGGCGATAGCAAAATCTACCCGACCTGAGGAACCTAAATCAGAAGAGGAAGAAGAACCGGAAGTGACGACGGAAGCAGCGCAGCAGAACACGGAACAACCGGAAACGAAAGAAGAGCCAGCGAACTCGGAATCCCGTTACCAGACCGTCGTCGAGCCCCCCACTCAAATCTTCGGTGTTGTTTCCGCGAGAAACCCTAAACCCGACGGAAACTTCCGGAAAAACTCTAGCGAAGAAGAAACTTTTTCCGGGGGTTCGGAATCGAGAAGTTCCGACTTCGAAGCCGGAACAAAGCTGTCGCCGATACCAACCGTGTTTACGGAACAGGAACCCGGGATTGATCCCAAAGAAACCCCGGGGAAACAAGGACGAGTGAGGATCATGAAGCGAAAATTGACTCCAAAGAACCTTCCAAAGACTGCTTCAACACTGCTGGAAACTCAGCGAGAAATCAAATTACCATCAGACGATTCGCTTTGCTGGCAGCAAATTGAAATGCAGCTGAACTCGGGTCATATCCGGCGAAAAAGAACTCTCTGTTCCGACAATAAACAAGTCCCCAAGGGATCAGTCCCGCAAAAACTGCAGAAAATGAGGGTATGCTGATTCATAAAACAATCCCAATACATAATGTCGCACTCGTGCTGTGCAGTTAATTTGGCGCGTTAAGTCTGATGACGTTGGTAACTCACCCAATTTTTGCGCGTAGAGTGGATACGGATTAAGAAGAAAAGCAACTGCAGTCATATGCACCAGTTTATAGACTCAATTTTTTCCACAAACTCGTCTGTAAACTGGTACGTCCGCAACCTGAAACATTATCCGCCATTGATGGCAATGTTAAAAATTTTAATTTGTCCTGGATTTTGGTGGAAATGATGGAAAATTAAAGAGAACACTGACATTCTGTGACTGTACAACACCTGCACTTCATGTTCTGTCAATACTTGAAACAAGGAAGAGCAGTTCTTAGGTCAGTCAATTACAAAATAATTACAAGAAGCTCAGTTGGAGTCACTTTCATCATCAATTGCCATCTTCAAGACACCAGATGCCCCAGCTTGACCACCTGATGCTTTAGAACGCACATTTTTGTGCCAAAAAAGAATTGGGAAGAAGAAGTGTTCTGAAAACCTCCCACGCAACAGCCCAACTGCAGTCCATAAACCGGTTTACGGTCCATACGCTAAAGCACTCTGGCAAAAAAAAAAGATCTGGTCCATATACTGTACCAAAAATCCATAACCGGGGTTGTCCATAACCGGAATCGTCCATAAACCCGTGCACAACTGTAATGCCTTTTCCTCTTTTGGTCATTCACAAACCAAATAAAAAAAAATAATTACAAAATATCTTAGCATTGCACAGATTGTAATCCAGCAAAAAACCTCCTGTAATCCAAAAACCCCTAACCAATATCCTAATACTGTGTTCCCCAACCTTTTTGGGCCCTGAAGCCTGCAAATTGCCACACATTCCTTTGCAAACAAGAAAATTGTACCTAAAATTCTCCACAGACTGACACATTTTCATAGCGTTTTTGCAAAGTGAAAAAGTTTTGCTTGTAAGACTTTATGGCACACTTTTTCCCCCAAAAAATGCAGTTAAGCACCAATGCTGAGGCAGCTATAGCTGAATTTAATAAAAAAAATAATTATAAAGGTGGTCTTGAAGAAAGGTTTCTCAGAATGAACAATTGAAATAATTTATTTCAGCAGGTGACGAGACTTTGTCTGAAGTTTTATTAAGAGAAAAGCCAACTTGCATTCATTCATCATGAGATAGTTTCAACTGACACTATCTTCCTAAAATTTCACATGAAGATACTGTAATTGACTTTATTAAAATTATGATGACTTTATTTGCTGCAGAAAATTTCTCGCAGACCGGCAAAAAACTTCTGTGGACCGGGGGAAAACTGTTCCGATCGAAATACTTGGAAATTCTGAGAGATAGGCCACATGTTTTTGTAATAATTGAGGCGCTGTATGCATACGGAAATTATGGCAAACGTTTAAAAATTTTATCGAGCCATGTTTCAAAAATCATTATTTCATTCTTTTTTTGCATGAGCAAATTTTTTGAGCCGAAACCGAAACGAAATTCAAAGATTCCCTCCTCCTAATAACGAAAGTTCCGAAAAAATTTGAGTTTATCTTTCCGAAACTCCATTCGATTTCCCAGCCTCGAATTTCAGTCTTTTAGTATCCAAGTTTCAGCTTTCGGAACCTTATGGTGTAGTATGGATTTCGTGAAAGGATTTAACCCGAGCTTTTAACTCGTAAAAATTCAGGGGCCACAAGTGAAAAAATGCGTAATTAACTCCGGGAAATACGTAAGGAAATATCCACCACTTGTATCAAATAATTTTTTTACTTTGGCTCGCAATTATTTTGTTACACTCCCACACGAGTCAGTTTTTTTTCAGCTCGAACAGAAACGGAGTTAAAAGATACTGCAGTTTTTTTCAAAAAAGAAGTTCCACAAAAAAGAAAGCTTGTCCTCTTGAAACTCAGTTCCATTTTTCCAAAATCAAACGTCTATCTTCGTTGTATTGTTTCAGGTTTCGGAACCTCCACTGAAACAGTTCTCGAGATCAAGGAGAAATAGCGGAGACGAAAACCTTCACGTGAAAATAAAATTCAGGAAGAACGACCCTCAAAGGGGGCTCCACGTGAAGACCTACGAATACAAGAAAGGAAAATCCGTCGTTCACTCCTCTTCTGAATTTCCCAGGTCGAATAGGAGGCATCAGGTCAAGAAGGACGACGATGACTCGTAAGTTACCAAGCTTGCTTCTGTTACTTTGATTCCAATATTGCTTCCCGCATCACATGCACAACCTTAATAAAAACATTATTCAAGGAATAGGATTCACATTCTGAAACGTGGTTATTTTTTTCCATTTCTGATTTATTCCTTTTTTATTTTCTGATGAAAGCGATTCACGACGAGAAGAACCCAGCAGCATCAGAAGGAATCCTCACAGAGGTCCTTTGACGTCTTTTATTCCCGCCGGCTACATAAAACGAAGTGACGCGTCGCCTACTCCTCTCCATCATGGGAATGCATCAACCCGGGAAAGAGTTCCAGAAATTCCAGCAGAAGAACCTTCAAAGGAGGGTCCTGAAGAGGATGATCTTCTGCTTAAGGTCCCTCTTCACACCCTGTACCATGTCCTTAAGTTCGCAGTTCTTTTCCACTCAGAATTTCCATGTTAAAGGTTTACAAAGAGCGCTATAAATGACTGTTCACTGCTGGTTGTAGAAAAAAATCAAGCATGAAGTATAAATGATCTCCTAATGTTTGGAATAGGAATCTTGGAAGCATTTACAGTAAATCGAATATTTTGGTCAACACACATTGGTCGCACATATTTTGATCAAATTTGAAGGTAATTCAGAAAATTGTGTTGGCTTGAAATAATTTCCAATAAAAAACGTATTAATTTAGGTTGGCTAAAATCAATTAGAAATCATTTTCCGGCCAAATCATCATAGAACTGTTCATAATTCACAGATGTCCTTACTGAAGGAAGAATGCTTATTCTCTTGTGAAGAGTACAACGAAAATTTGCTTTCTGTCTTGGTTTTCCGGAGGAAGTATTTCAAAATGTAGCCCAACTTCGGTGTCTAAAAGGCCTCAACACTGGAATGAAAGAGGTTTGAGTTTGACCCAAAAGGGCTTGCATTGTGCAGCTTCAAATTATATTTGACTAGAGGGAATTAGCCAGGCATTATGCTGACAATTTGAATTAAAAAGATTTTTGGGGAGGTCCTACATTTAAGGTCCAATATACAGCAGTTGGTCTGCAGCATTCAAATAGCAATTCAAACAAAAGACATTTCAAAAATTTAAAAATCTCATTTTTTTACATCCGCACAATTTTTGTAAAGATGAAAAAATATAAACTCTAAATAAGTGAATGAAAAAGTAATCTGTCCAATTTGAAACAATTGCGTATATACAGATATTACAGAATCAGTAGATATACGAGGATTCTAACAAAAGTTCTCACAGTAGCAATGAAAATGGCTTACGATTGAGCTGAAAAATTCTTTCTTTAGGGAAGACATATTCTTTGGCACACGAAAAAATATCAGCCCTGTTTGACAATTTTTTTTTGAATTTTTTTCATAATTCACCCTGGCAGAGTTTTGCTCTCCACTCAAAAGATGAGGCGCCCTTTTTTATTGTAGCCCAGCTTTCCCCTCAGAAATTTTGAAATCAACTTGGCATTCTTTCTAAGGGTTGCCTCCAGGTCATCCAAGGCAATTCCGCCATTTTCATCAACAGCCGCCACATTGGCCGCCACTTTGGTGGCTGTTGATAAAAATTGCAGAATGATAAAATGAGTGGAAAGGTGCAGAATGACAGACTTGAAACCACGGTGGACTACATAATTGTGAGCTGTAAGAAAAATAGGACGTGTGGTACTGTACAGTACTTTTAAAACAAGACAGTTGAGTGTCATGTCGCAGACTTTCTTGAAGTTAATCTAGATGTCGCTTCCTGATGATTCCATTTCCAACAAGTCATTCCACGCGGTGCTCAGCCCAGCTTTATTGGCGCTCACCACATTCTACAATGAAATTCAATGAATTGGCGCTGTCTCATTGTTTGGAGCTCATTCAGAATCTTTCCATAACTCTTTCCTTTGTTCATCACATTGATGCTGGCTTATTACAGTACGAACCTTTCTAAGTCCAACTTCAGGAAGATGACCAACAAAATGATTCGATTCAGGGAGGTTTTCACTCTGGGAAACAAGCATTAGTGTTGATGGGGAAAGAACGAATAATACCATAGCAGGCATGTTTCAACTGGTGATATTCTATGAGCATTTGATTGTTTCTTAAATGATTTCACGGGATCCTGATCTTGGACGCAAGGGAGGGTTTATTTGCTGCTCATTAATTAGTATTACACTTCCTTCAAAAACACATCAAGTATTATTATTATTGCTTTTTGATTTCCTGTATTGATAAAATAATCCCTAGAAAGCCTCTAGAAAGTCTAGAAAATGACAGTCAAAATATTCTAGGAGGATGAGAGCCTTATTTGAGTCAGGAAGGCTTTTAATGCAGGATACTGGCAAATTGAGACAGACACTTCAAGACTGGACAAACGGAAACAGAAAATTTGAGATGGGGCCAATTAGAGACAGGGACAATTAAAGCAATGGATAATTGAGGAAAGGAAAATTTGAGACAGGGAAAATTATAGGCAAAAACTATCTTGATGAGGAGAGGAATCTGTTCAGGTTGGTTCAAAGATTTGAGTTTTTCCTTGATGAGGAAAACTCACTTGACAGTGATGATGGACAAAAAAGAGGAACCCGCTGGGATCATGGACTTTTCTCCAAAAAGTGTAACTTTTGTTCGGTTTCACACCTTAGCCATTGTGCAGCAAAGTTGGGATATTTTTGCAAAATTTTGTACTGCTGTGCACTGGAAATAAAAACAAACCTACGTTTGTACCAAGGCCTAAGTTGGGAAAAAGTCTGATGTTTTTTTTTCTAATCCTGCAGAAAATTTTGAATGAAAAATAAATAAAAATCCCTCACTGTGGCATTTTTCCTGCATTATTGGCATATGATATGCATGCGGGAAAATCCTGAGAGCAATATAAAATTCACCTTCCAGATTTTTACTGACTGAGGCTTTTTCAACCTGGGAGCGTTTCAGTGACCTTGGGTCAAACTGAAATGAACCACCCTCCGGAAAAATCCCAACTCCACCACACACTGAAAAAGAACCCTCTGCCATCCAAGGGTTAAACATGAGATAATAAGGAGAAACACAGACAAGTAATTTTGTCTCAAAATGTTTTGAATTCTCAAAAAGTATTTGACCTTGTCTCAAAAAGTTTCAGTCTTAAATTATCCTTGTCTCAAAATGCTTTCATCTCAAATTGTCCCTGTCTTCAAAAGTATCTGTCTCAATTTGGCCATGTCTCAAATTAGCCTTGCATCAAATTTTCCCTGTCTCAATTTGTCTGTCTTGATTTGTCCTAGACCCGTTTTATATTGCATTCTTTCCAACAAGGCATTTTAGACTGGGACCTTAAAAAAAAGTGTACATGAATGGAATTTCGCTTCTAAAGTACTTAGCTTCTTCCGAGGTGACTTATTGTTATTGAGAAAAAATAAGCACAAAAAAAACAATAAACTTTACTTGAGTCCGGTTCCGCTTTCGGCGCTTCGTCTTTAGGCGGCTCGCCCGAGTTGACGACGTTGTCCGCGTCCTCTACCTCCTTTAGGCCAGCCTTTAGGCCGCAGTCGACCTCGACTTCCAGCAGCGCCAGCGGGCCAAGGAAGACGCCCTCAGGCGGGAAATCGAGAAGGAATTCATGCGACAGCGCGGAGTCGACAAACTCGTCACCGACAGCCACTGGAGCAGTAGGAGACTCGGGTCTTCGTCGTCGTGGTCGTGACTCGACTCGGTCTTGCACGTGTCGTTAGTACTCAGGGTAAGACTGGACCTGTCTGTCTTCGACGCCGAGTAGGACCTTTTTAAGGGGGAATATGTGCACGCTCTTATCCTCATTCTGCAAGCCGTCGGGAAAACTGCGCAATTCTCCCAGGAACTCGGCAAAATCAACCCCGAAACGTGGGATGAACGTCTGCTTCCGATAATCCAGCAAGCGTCACAAACGTGAGTATTTTTTTAAATGTATATATATATATTTTTGTTGTTGCGATTCTCGTATATTAGTGTATTGGTAAAAAACTAAAAATACATCAAGTTTCGAGAACGAATCCAAGTCTAATTGCTTGCAAATTATTCCTGACTGCTGCGAATTAAAATTCAAAACTTCAATGAAGAAAACAACTGCAAAATTGTTTTGATCTGTTACGACGAAAATTGGAAAACGAGGAGAAAATTTAAATTTAAACGCCTGATTGCCGATTTCCATGTAAATGCGTTTTTTCTCTCATAATTTTAAAACACATGTAAAATAATTTCTTGGTTATTCGAAAGCAGTATTAATTTCCTGGTTCCTATAAACTCGCGAGATTTTAACAATGACTCATTTGAAATTACTGTAAAGCACTGCATGAAAAAAATTGAGTTTTTTATATCTCCCGCGAATAATAAATCATGATTGATGAGGAAAATTTTAATCCATGAACAGATTATAGAACCAAAACTTTCGAAGAGGATGATAAACTCACTGATCGATATTCATCGGAGGGTTCTTCTGAAAAACCTAAAAAAATCTGGTCGCATTTATTCCAATTTTTCTCGTCAGAATGTCATTTTTCAGAATGTCCTAAGTCAAGTTTTTTGAACTATCCTTTGCCGAATGAATTATGCATAACGAAGTGAGTGTTACCAAAAGAAAACGAAAACTTCCCTCAATCCACAGAAATAGTTTTTAATTTTTAGGTTTAGGATTAATTCTGTTCAAATTCGAAGACGATTTTAGTTGGAAATACATCTTATAGTTCTCACTAGAATTTTTTAGGTAAGTTGAACTTCCTGAATTTTCCAAACTTCTGGAGTGGGTTATATTAAATGCAAATTAATCTTGAATTCCCGGTTCACGCAATTCAATAATTTCAATTTTTGACAAACTATTTATGGTCGATGAATTTGCTGCAAATTCGTCTCGTAAAATGATTAAATTCTTGATCTCCAGAGGAACGGTGAATCCGAACCTATAATCTTTCAGAAAACCCACGCTTCAACAAAGTCATTTTCGTAACAGGGATTCGGAAGTTGCTGTTCGGCTAAAGGTTTCGTTTAGACTCGAGGGGGCCTACGTTTCTAACCTTTAGTAAGTCGGGTTTTTTCTTCTTCTTCTTCTTCTTGTTTACATGCCTTAAGAGTTTCGGCAGGTTGGCAGTTCAACAACGTCTCGGGATTCGACAGGAATTCGGCTGCAAAGGAACATTCTTGCCGACATTCACTCGAATCCCAGTTTCCAGGCTTTCGGCAAAATCACTTCCCCTGTCGCCAGAAAGAGGCAGAGAATATTTTTTTGAGAATGCATCTGTTTTAGAAGTCAAGGAAAACAAAAAGAATGATGCAATAACTCGGACAATGTTCTCTTTTATATGAAACAATATCCAAAAAATACGTACTGTACCGAAACTTTGTCATTCTTTGATTGAATTCGTCTTTTTCACGCTAGGCGAATCAACCGTGAGAAAAAGTCCGATTTTCTGAAGCGTAAATGAGTTCTTCCTTTCATTTATTTTGCCTCACAGACGGAGTTTTGTTTTGTTTCCCATGGTCAATT